GCCAAGAGAATAGATTTTTAAAGATATGATTGTCCATCTTTTCTCCGCTTTTCAGATGAAAATTATAAAATATTTTTTTTCAATGGTACAATTACTTTTAAGTTCATTAACATTTTCTTTTCGTTCAACTCGAGTATTTTTGCGTCGTAATAAAAATTTTTAAATACATTATTCCAAAATCATAATTTTGTACCACTCTATGCTGATGACAGCGCTTACATGTGTAAGACTGCTGTACGAATTTGTTATTTTTCTTGATAAATAGGAGGAGTACAAAAAGTAAATTTAGATAATTTTTATAGTATAAATAGACATAAAGCTATTCACTTTAATTTTCTTAAGAAAATTCACCATTTTTCTGTCAAGATCATAAATTTTATTAATTTTTTGCATTTTACTGTGTTTCTATGAAAAACGCTGTATAATTCAAATTCTACAGGGGTAAAAATTATATTTTTGGTTTTCGTAGATGGTAAAAATTAAGAAGAAGACAATCATAATCTTTTACATTACAATTTCACGATTTTTCCGCCGAGAAAAGAGATTTTCTGTAGTGCGGAAGACCCGGAATTAGAATCGTCGAACTAGACTACGAATTAATTTTTTTCTGAATATTTGCGAGGGGTTCAAATTCCAAAATAACTATTTTTCGACTGGTACTGATTAAGGCAAGGTTGGTGGTGTATTTTGTTTTAGGAAATAAATATTTTTCCTATCAGAGTTATCTACTTTATCATCCGAGTAATCAGCTGATTTTGCGAATGTAGGAGTTTAAGAACACACGTTAACTTAGGATTTTTTATATTAACATGTCTAATCAAATTTTAGAGCTTAAAAATTACAATAAAACTATTTTCTGTTGTTAAAATTTAAGGTAGAGCTAGAAATATATTTTTTTCTTAAGAAATGAGAGATTTTCCTGTAAAATTTATCAATATTATAATTACACAAAAAACACTGTACGAGGGTGGTCCGATAAGTACTTAGCCTCACCGCCCGATGGCGCCAGTCTCGCAAAAGAAATAGTCTATCACGTAGTATAACCTTCTCGATGGTTACTGTCAAGATTTCAGCCGGATCTGAGTTGTAGTTTATTTTTGAGAGCGTGTGAAAGCAAGTGTGTCCGTTGATTTTTGAAAAATGGAAAAAGAGCAGTATCGGTCAGTGATTTGATTCTTGTTTTTGGAAGGGAAATCGCGCAGCGAAATCAAAAAGCGCTTGGATACTGTGTACGGTGACTCTTCTCCTTCGATGGCGACCGTCAAAAATTGGTTTAACGAGTTTCAACGTGGTCGCACGTTGATTTTTCAAGAGCCACGTCCAGGTGCTCCGAAAACGGCTACCACGGAGGATAACGTGACAAAAATTCACGATCTCGTATTGGCAGATCGACGATTGAAGGTGCGCGAGATAGCTAAGATCGTAGGTATCTCAAAAGACCAAGTGGGTCATGTCCTGCATGAAATTTTGGACATGAGAAAGCTGTCGGCGCGATGGGTGCCGCGTTTGCTCACTCCGGATAACAAGCGCAACCGTGAGACAACTTCAGAACACTGTCTGACGCTGTTTAAGCGCAATCCAAAGGAGTTTCTGCGTCGTTTCGTGACAGTCCCCGAAACATGGATCCACTGGTATACACCAGAGACCAAGGAACAGTCGAAACAGTGGACTTTACCCGGCGAAAGTGCTCCGAAGAAGGCGAAGACTGCCCCATTGGCCGGAAAGGTAATGGCCACCGTTTTCTGGGATTCACAAGGTGTGATCTACATCGACTACCTGGAGAGGGGCAAAACGGTCACAGGGCTGTACTATGCCGAATTATTGGGCCGATTCGACGTCGAATTGCAGAAAACCGGCCCCATTTAGCGAAGAAAAAAGTACTCTTCCACCATGACAACGCACCGGCTCACACCTCCGCCGTCGCCATGGCCAAATTGGTCGAATTAGGCTAGGAGCTGCTGCCTCATCCACCGTATTCTCCAGATTTAGTCCCGTGCGACTTCTTTTTGTTTCCAAACTTGAAAAAGTCACTCGCCGGGCAGAAATTTGATTCAAATGAGGAGGTAATCGCTGCCACGGAAGCCTACTTTTCAGACCTCGAGGAAACGTATTTTTCAGACGGGTTAAAGAAGTTGGAGCATCGCTGGGCCAAGTGTATCGAACTAAAAGGAGACTATGTTGAAAAAGAAAACGCCACTTTTCCAAAATTTTCGTTTTTCTTTTGTAGGCTAAGTACTTATCGGACCACCCTCGTATTATTCAAATTCCACAGAGGTACAAATTAGTTTTATGTATTTTTTAGATGGTACAAATTAAGAAGAAGGCATTCATATATATATATTTTTTTAAATCACATATTTTTCTGCTGGAAGATAGAGTTTCCGCCGCGCATGCGCAGTAATACATTAATTTGAATTGCTAATCTACCATAAGAAAATCTTTTTTTCTCTATTTTTATAGAGGGTACTAATTCTAAAAAAGCATTTTTCTGATGGTACAAATTAAAATGAAACTAGTGGTATTTTTTTCTTTTATATCAATCATTTTTCTGCCAAGAGTATGAGTTTTCCGCAATATCGTTTTTTTCGCTTTTTTTCAAAATTTTGGGGGGTGGGATACAAATTTAAAAAAATGAATTTTCGGGTGGTACAAATTAAGACGAAGCTAATGATATATATTTTTTTTTTAAATCAATCATTTTTCTGCCAGGGGTCGTTTCGATTCTAGCGAGCGCAATTCGTACTGCGTAGCAGGTTGATTTTATCTACCGTTCCCTGGCAACTGACATGCAACAACATATATGAAATTATGCTTCAAAGCTCTACGCCTGCGCAAAGTACATTTCCGGATGACATCCTTGTAAGTTGTAACAATTAGTGGTGATTTGTAATTGTCCTATTATTTCTTTTAGAAACAAATTTATAGAATTGTACTGATGGTACAATTTAGACTACAGAAGGTACAATTTTTCTGTGAATTTATTTTTGCTTAATTATGTCTTTTATGTGAATAAATAGGAGGTGAATTATCGATAACGATATTTTTTATTTTTTATGAGAAATATAATGGTACAATAACATATAATTATTTTTTCAAGAAGTACAATTAGACATACTTGAGATGGGATCATTTTTTTTTTATAAAATGTTATTTGTGTCGGGCTGTTTTCACATCGGTGAATCTAAAATGTTGCCGAAACGTTGATAGAACCAGGGAGTAAGAGAGAAGAAGACCCTACTCATTCGGCCGGCCAACAGAAATCTGGGACATTTTCACCGGCAAAGATCGCCAGGCTCGCTCATCGGAATAGCTGACACTAGCTAGCGTCAGACCCCTCTAGCGAGCGCCATTCGTACTGCGTAGTAGTTTGATTTTATCTACCGTTCCCTGTCAACTAACATGCAACAACGTATATCAAATTATGCTTCAAAACTGTGCTTACTTATGATGACGATATGATTTGAGTTGACATAAATGATAAGTCAGCTATCAAGAGCAAACCCCAAATACTATAACCATAAACTTAATCACAAGCCCCTCTTGGCAACTTAAATATAACTTTTTACATTTAGACAGTGATATAAGCACGTTAGCCGAGAGGCTAAGGTTTCTGCTTTAAATTGTTAGGATTGCCGGTTTGAATCCTAGAGATGAATTCTTTTTTTCGTCATTATGGAGAATTTCGGAATCATATAAATACGTAAAATTAAATTAAATATGCAAATAACATATAATTATTGATTCTGTGTTTAAATGATAAAGCACATACAATTGAAATTTTTTGAAGATGATATTTAAAAAAAAATTAGCATAGACTTTCACTATTTTTTCCTGTACCTATTCCAAATATAAAATGATAGAAAACGTCCATGAGCATTTGAAGAGTTTACTGGGGTATTTTCATCAACAATTTGATATATTTATCCTTAACTGAAATGCGTGCCACAAAAACTAAGCTTTAGCGCTTTTAACATGAATGCTGAAAAAAATAATAACACTATGGTATTATACAATAAAATGAAAAATATCGCCGGTTAGAAGCATATAACATATTCTTCAAAATATAAGTTCATTGCGCTTAAAATTCAAATGAGTAAAACTAACGCATCAACAGACTGTGCTATCAGTCCGTTTAATCGATATAAAAAATCATTTATTTTCTAGATTTTTCAAGAGCTACTGGAAGTTCTTTTCAATAATGCGACGTTTATTTGCGATCTACTTTTTTGTTATACGATATAATGATATTTTTCGTATATGTATAGATAAACGAATGTAGCAGTGATGTAGTATAAGAAAAATATATTTAAAACAACGGAAATGTTATATGAATATGTGTGTGTGCAAAGAGGAACATCTGAAAACTTGTATGAGCGAAAAACTTTCGCCTATTTGAAATGGTAAAAATTATCATCTAAAATAATGTCGAATGAAAGGGTTGAAAAAGATATTCATGGTAATTTGTCAAATATTCTTTATCATTTTCTACCACTATATACACCTCAAATAACAATCGAAAAAACGTCCGAGGACGCAGTGAAATTTATTTTTAGCGTGTTAAGAATGCGACGTATATTTGAGATGTTAACAGATTTTTTTTAAATCGATTTATTCAGTACATATTGATGCATGATCATTATATATTGATGTTAATTAAATTAAATTAAAATAATTTGAACTGTCTTTTAAATGAGAATTGGAATTGACATCAAGGGTATTTACACGAGTATAATTTTTTTATAATGATTTATTTACACGTCGATATCATACCTTCACAATCAATATTATTTATATATGTATATGGTAACGTGACTGGCTACGTGTTGTTCGTTTTAGCTTATAATAATTTGACTACGAGAGAAATCAGCCTGAAGAGGTCAGCAAATGTGCTGACGAAACGTTACTGAATATAATTAAAATTAAGTGGATTTCCATCTCTTACTATTTCCCTTCTTTTCATTATTACAAAATTTATCATTGAAAAAAACAATATTATTTAATTATCGGCGATTCACTATTAATTTATTCGCAAATTTGTTTTCTTTTCCCATACGTTGTTTTTTCGCGGCAGGTTTTACTTCAACTTCGATACTGGAACAGTTGTATTTTCTTTTTCTTGTGTTTTTCGTAGCGTTCTTGGTTTTAATTTTATCAGGTTGTTTTACGATGCCAACACCATTCGTTTCTGTCGCAGGAACATTCGAGAGCTTTGAAAGCTTTCTTCTTTCTCTTGTCACTTCTTTCTCAATATTGTCATTCTTGTTAGATTGCTTCGTGACAAAAAACATTCGTGTCGTCAAGAAGAAAGCAACAATTTTATAAGTGAATGCAGTATTGTGCTCTTTACAGCCAAGTAATGGAAGTGGTGGTAATTCTGCCAATTTTGTGGTAACGTCGTATAATAATTCCGCATAAATGATCTGCTGATCATTGATAACTGTCGAAATAGCTCTTTCTAAAATATTAATTAAATTAAAAAGCTGTATAGAAGGCTGTATTAAAGCACTTCTATTTCTGATTTGTATGAGCTTGTAAGAATTTGGGACGAGCTCTTTGTTGTCGAGATATAGTGTTGTGGTATAAACTGAACAAACTAGACGACGCTTTTTACCGTTAGTGTCTACTTCCATTACAGTGGCAAATCGAGCTGATTTTCTTGCCACATATCCAGCTACGTATGCAATTACGTATTGAGAGGTAGTACATTTCATATAATCATACTCTTCGAACTTGACAGCAACCTTCTCAAGTTGATCCATACCCACTCCTCTGTCCAGTAATGTGTCAATTAGTGCATCCCATTGTTGTTTTTTTTCTACGTCATTAATATCTGCAGCATCTGTTATTGAAGTTAAGCTTTTCATAAGATCACTGCCCGTAACGTTTGATTCTTTCGGTGGTTTGACTAATGAGTAAATTGAAACAAGCCTGTAAGTTTGTATAAACACCGCCGAATCGGGATGATCATTTGAACCGCAATAATTACGCATCATACCGAAAAATCGCTGTAAATAAAATATTTTTATGAGATTAATGTAATAATAATACCATTTTTTATGTTACTTATACGATAGTAATTGGTCGATCTCAAAAATTTTCAATGTGACTACGTCAACAAATATTAAATGATGATACAAGTTTATGAAATATAAAACTATTAATTATATTTTAGCACAATTGAAAATATACGAGCGTTAGAGAGCGAGGTTATCTTTGCTAGTAATTAATGAATTTTATTATAGATATGTCGATAATCTAAGGCTCATTTAGAATTTTCGTTTAATTGTTAAATAAAAAAAGAAAAAAGATAGGATCGATGTACGCGCTTGGAAATTATCAGGTTTATATAAATAATGCAGACAATCGAAATAAAAGTTAGACATTCCTGAAGAATATTATATCTAAAATATTTAGACTTAACGTACTTCCAAACTGTCTTGATTTAAACGAGCTGTCATCAAGTATTTGAAACCACAGGTGTTGACAAGGAAATCACATATTTTTAAAGTTGCTTTCAAAGATATCTTCAAAACATAGTATGTACTTGGAGGTATGAACTCCATATTCTCATCTTTAGCTTTTTGTTCCCACTTTTCAAGATAAACAATGAAATCTTCGACAATCTAAAATTATAATATTAATAAAAAATGCAATGTAATATAAATTTATTTCGTAATAATCAATCAAATAATAATATAATTTACCTTATACAAAGCATTCCCTATCTTCATATTATCAATTGGAGTTCGGCAATTCATAGCTTTTATTAAACTTGTAACGGTGCCGGTGGATTTGACCTGCACCGTGTGTCCCTTATCTCTCCCTACCATCGGCAAGGACTCATGGCAGACCTATGGCGCATAGTTCACGTGCCTGATGCCAGCCTTTATATTTTCAGCATTGCTGCCGCAACAAGAAAGAAGAGGAGAGATAGAGAGAGGCAGCGGCATTGGTCAACAAGAGCGCGCAGTAACATGCGTTCTTGTAAGAGAGAAAGAGAGAAAGAGAGAGAAAAGAGAGAAAGAAAAGAACGCGACTATAGTGCAGGCAGGCGCGTGACACTGGCCGCGCTTGACGGTGCCGCGTGCCGCCGATTAGGCAAGTGAGTGGGGAGAGCGTGAGAAGCAGTCTCTCACGCACTCGGAAGCATACTCGCGGCCAGTAAAAAAGTTGCCCACAGCAGAGAGAGGTACATAGACCCCCTGCAGTCAGCAAGATAAGGCGAGGAGACCGTGACGGCATTAACAATCTGCCCGGATCCAGCCTATCATTTCAGCGAGCCCTTCCAACCATAGATTTGCCTGCAGAACTCTATCACCATCATCGGCAAGGCGCTGCATCGAAGGAGATCTACAATCGTCAGGTCATTCTCTAATCTCTCTCTTGAGTTCTCTCCTTACGGCTACTCGCGGCTTGTGCACTGTGCCAGGCTCTCACGGGCCGACACAGCTAGTTTAGTTATTAAGATAATTTAGATTGTATCGAGTTGGTAGTGAGATGGCAAGGCGCTAACGTGCCGGCCATCTCCTTCGGCGATCGGAAGTTGTCAATAGTTAGATAAGGCGCGCGATAGAATGTCCGAACTGTTAACGCTCAAGGTAGCGTGTTGTAATAAATAGATTTACCAAGATAAGAGGAATAATCATTGCGTTTACCTATCTCTTTACCTTGTCAGGAGCAATACACCGCCTCCCTTACCTTGACCCTTTATAAATAATTGGTAATAGCGATAGATTTATCGGCGTTATAAGCCGACCCTATTACAAACTTTTCTCCCTATTACAGAATTTAAGTCCCATCGCAATCACTCAAACCAGGATGATTGTCTTTCAAAACGGTCATTGCATCGCCAGCTCCAAAGAACTATTTAAGCAACAATAATTTTCTTCGCTTAAGATTGCAAAATTCAATTAAAAAAATTAGAGTTTCAAAGCGCATACTATTCACTGAAGTTATACGTTACTTGAAATACCATCGCCACGTTCATTTTTTGATAGTACTGTGGTCTGATATGCTCTTCTCTGATTTTGTAATTAACTTTCATATTGTAACTTTTCGGATTTTCCACTTCAAGCAACGAATACCAATGATTTAAGGTTACTAGCCCATCAGGTGTCTCCATTAATCATTTTACTGACACAATATTTTATTATAAGTTTCAATAAAACATAGCGTGAGGATTCGAGCGAGTTTCAGCTAAGTAAATTAAATTATAATGAAATAATATTTAAGAAGACAATAGGTGTAAACGAAGTTTTAATGAGCGAACTTTCCTAATAACGAAATATAAATTGATATTCGCACGACAGCTCATGATGATAATCATGGGAATCTTTTATTGTACCGTAAATTAATAAGATAAATTATATTCATAACACAAAAGCTCGATTAGTCACATGTAATTAAATGGCGATCTGGCAAGCTTCTACTGCAGTTGAAACTTTCAAACGATATCTTGAAATAAGCAAAAAATGTAGCAAAAGTAAAGCGTATATTAATACACAAAATGTCTTACCCAAATGTTATCGTAGCGTCCCTGCTTTAAAAAAAAGTTGCGCAAACAATTTATCAAATGTGGAAAATCCGATAAAAACCATAATCGCCGCATGGAATTAGGATCAGTCTCAGCTACGTGAGGAGTACTTATATTCTCCTCATTTACACCAAACTGTTCCCACATATTTCGATTCCACGATGCACCATCGCTCGTGACCGCATCAACTTTTAGTCCAGCTTTTTTAGCCAATATTATATATTCCAGCAATATGTGATGCAAAACTGTTCCAGTTGCGCTACCTTTGCTTAAGAAGCATTCTAATGCTTGTACCCATTTCCCTTTGAAAGGTTGAAACATAATCACCAACGCGTGATCACCTTTAACTCCTTGTTGGTGTTTGGGAGTATACTTGCCAAGATTAGTGAAGCCTTCGAATTGTAAATTTTGCCTATTAAACGATAGTGATTTTGCAAGCTTCATTTCATCTACAAGAATAATTCCTGCAAACGAAATATAGTTAATAAATAAATTATCATCTACCGTATTACAAGTATAAAATATTCCAGTAACAGTGTCGTGAAATTTATTCGTTTATACAGACCATAGTTGTAAAAATAACAAACCATTGCCTTATTAAAGAAATCACCTCAACAAGTTTCACATGATAGACACGGTAAACCCGTTGCCCGGAGTCGTGCTTGAGCTGCGAACGCGAGCAGCACGCATGCTTCTCGCTCCGCACGGTGCTACCAATACCGCCGCTCTCGCGCTTTAACAGTCTGATATCGCTGAATCCGGGCCTTATATACCGCACACTATTAAGTGCTTTACTATATAGCACCCTCGTGCCGTAAATCCTTAGTGCAGTGTATTTTAAAAATCAGCGAGTGAAGGGAAGTGAATCCATCGCAACACGCGGAGAGAGGCGCATGCCTGTGCCCTCTCCGCCCATCTTTTTATTCTCACAAAACAACTAAAACCACCAGGAAATATGAGTCCAAACATTCTCGCCATATCCTGCACCACCGCTACTCCAACTACCACGTGCGCACCAATCACGGTGCAGGCCGGCATACACAGCTCTCAAGCCGACTTTTCGTCGACAAATATCTTAAATAGCTCGGGCCTGCCAGCTCATATACAACAACAACAATCCGTCATTACGCCGTCCGTCCAAGGTAACCAACCCACGCTAAATGCACCGCAAACGAATTTCACGATTTCAACTAGTGCGATAATCAATGCGATTAACGGAGGAAAGTTGCCCAACTACAGGAACGCCAACGCAATAAAAACTTTCTGCGATAAAGTCATACAAGATGCCCAAAAACATACTCAATACTCAGCTCAGCCGAACGTAACGAACTTGAATGCCACTCAGCGCACGCAAATCGTAACTTCAAATGCCACACGTGTACGTGCAATACCCCCCGAAGGTATCAAACGCACCGCATCACAGAATACAGATGATAACTGGCAAACCAGCCCGAAGAGCAAACGCTCACATATCCAGCAACAAAACCCTCCCAGATTCCCACTCACAAGTAACCGATACTCATTACTCGGAAATAACGGACAAATCAGCGACACTATGGAAGAGTATGACATGGAAGTCGCGGAAGAAGCCGTCTTGGAAGACGACGCCAGCAAACAACAACAAGATAATTCAAATACTAAAGTCAATACTAAGAAACCTGAGCGCTCAAAGAAGCAGAGAACTGCCAGCAACCAGACACGTGATGATTCCGTGCCACAACAACCCGGCCTCGCCGTGCCGCAACTAAACAACTCGCCGCCGATATTTGCTCAAGACACAACTTTCAAGAATCTTATACAGATTTTCAAAAACAATGGTTTGACAAAAATACACTTCACTATACATTGCACGACCCAATCCGAATTCACGATCAAAGCGACGGACCTTCTTACACACGAAAATATCCGTAAGATACTTAAAGATAATAATATTAAATTTTATACTTACACACCGAAAGACAAAAAACCTCAATTTCAAGTTATCAAAGGTATATACGGTGATTTTGACGTGAAAGAAATTTTAACCGAGATTAAGGAAGAGATCGCAGCCCTTGAAATTCCATCTGTTAATTTTGTTATTCTTGACACTCTCCATTTTGTTAAGCAAAATTCTTTTAAACCAATTTTAGAGCCAACCCGTTGTGAAAAAAATAATAATCAAACAATCATCTCAGGTGACAACACGTGTGTTTCGTTGGTAAATATCCAACCTCATCAGATCTTTATTAAAAAAACAAAACGAGAAAATGGTTACAATAACAGATATAAACCAAAAACAAACAAAAATCACGCTAACAAAACATTTACCTCAATTCGCAAGTCACAATCAAATTAAATATCACAATAAAGTCAAAAATACACTGTCAAACATAATATTCGCTCAACTACACAAAATTCAAATCGGACAACGACTATGAAATAATGCAAATAAAAACAGTGTCTGTTGCCTTTTATACCAAAACAAACCACCGGTAGACACAATCAGATGTATCCCCTCTCCTATGCATGAAAACGGTACATTAAGCATCATTGTACATCAAAACAAAATAATAAAAAATATATTGTAAATAAATATGAGATCAGTCAGCTAAGATATCAAATAAACCTTTATATTGTTTACTCAGTAAACTAGTGTCTTCTTGTCTATTTATAGTGTTATAAGACAAATTAATATAAATCATTTCCGAAATTAATCTCTTACAATAGTTAGACTCTCTATCTAAAATTATTGTGTTGTCCCAGTCAAACGAATGTGTAGGATAATTTTTCAATTGCATCGGAACCGGAAGAGATTTATCTAAAGGTGTCTTCCTATGCTCCTCTATGCGTTTTTTTTAAACATCTCTTAGTTTGACCAATATATACAGACGGGCAACTATCACAACAAAATTTGTATACTACATTTGTCTCATTTACATCTGATTGTGTCTACCGGTGGTTTGTTTTGGTATAAAAGGCAACAGACACTGTTTTTATTTGCATTATTTCATAGTCGTTGTCCGATTTGAATTTTGTGTAGTTGAGCGAATATTATGTTTGACAGTGTATTTTTGACTTTATTGTGATATTTAATTTGATTGTGACTTGCGAATTGAGGTAAATGTTTTGTTAGCGTGATTTTTGTTTGTTTTTGGTTTATATCTGTTATTGTAACCATTTTCTCGTTTTGTTTTTTTAATAAAGATCTGATGAGGTTGGATATTTACCAACGAAACACACGTGTTGTCACCTGAGATGATTGTTTGATTATTATTTTTTTCACAACGGGTTGGCTCTAAAATTGGTTTAAAAGAATCCATCTGTTAATGTCATAAAAGTTTCCAAAGTAAATCTCATTAAAAACAGACCCAAACTGATTCACTATGTCGCTGAATGCTCCGGTGACACCGTTACTAAAAATCTTAAACAGATTCGCAATCTAGTCTTCCAATCTGTCAGATGGGAACCTCTAAGGAAAACCGATCTCTTCCAATGCAAAAACTGCCAACGATTCGATCATGCGAGTGCCAACTGCGAACTCGGCTACCGTTGTGTAAAATGCCCATCCCCACACGCAGCAGGCGAATGTACTCTTCCACCGAACTCTCAAAAAGAGAAACTGTATTGCACACTCTGCGATAAATATGGCCACCCAGCTTCATATGGAGGCTGCCCTTTCCGTAAATGCATGAAAGCCATCAAAATGCAAACCAAAATTAATGCTGAAAACGCAAAAAATGCAAAAATTTATAAAATCCATCGCAATCTCGCCGCATATAATAAACCAGTTACAGATCAACTCTCGTTCGCTCAAGCTACCACTCCGAATTCGCAATATCATACACCTACTACGCAGGCGCAGCGCGCGCCACCGCAGTACACACACCCTCCCGCCGCACACGCATACCCGCGCTAGCAGACGCAACAGCCGGATCAAACCGAAGAACTTTTAGAACGCTTCAGCAAGCGCATAATTGACCCCCTATCCGCGCAAATCACTCGAATCACTGATATAGTTACTCATAATACTCACAAGATAATGAAATTATACGAACATTTAGGACTTCAATATGAATAAACAAACACATTCTAACTACCTTTCACAAAATACTACTAACAGTGCTACCGCCTCCTCGCTACAACTCATTAACGTAATCTCAATTAACACTAATTCAATTGTCTCGCTTAAGAAACGATACGAATTACTCAACTTTGTTAATAAATTTACATTGTACTCTTACAAGAAACAAAACTTAATAAACGTCATCGAATTGAATTCGCCAATTATGATTTTATTCGTACTGACACGAAAAATAGTATAAAAGGAGGCGGTTCCGCTATCATGATCAAAAAAGAAATTCCGTATGAGGCTATTCACTCTCCCTCATCATCGGAAAACAAAATTCTAGAATACACAATCATTAAAATCAAAACTACTAATACAAATTTGTACATAATTAGCGCATATGCAAATAACGACTATTCTAGAATTTTCACTGATGAACTCGATACCCTTTTCTATAGCTGAAGCTCGATCTTCCCGAAAACTACTATGTTTTATGCGGAGACCTAAATACTCGACATCAAATTTGGGGTGACCCAGCTACGTCGAGTGAAGGCCGGATACTTAAACGATGGAGTGAAAATAAAGCGCTCGCCTTCCGCGCATCCATTATCCCCCCTTGTTCATCAACATTTCCGCGCTCTGGTTCGTTCCTCGACTTATGTATTCTCGATAATCGTTTAGAAATCATAAACTCTCCCAACAATAAACTAAACGTCTCTACATATAACAGCGACCATAAAGCTATACATGTAACAATAAAAATTACAAACACTATTAATATTACTCCAATTGACCCGACTTCACAATACCACTTTATGTATAAAAAAACCAAATGGTCCAAATTTCATAAAAAACTTAACTCTTATTATCATAGCACTTCACTTGTAACCTTCGATGAGTACAGACGTGCGAATAATCGCTCTCGAAATTAAAGTGACAGCGAGTAAATAATAAGAAAGCAGAAATCAGTTCAGTGAAAAGTACTAACAATAACATTGGCATAGCCGCCATGGCTACAACAACAAAAGAAAAGAAGTATCTTACACCAAAAAAAAAATCGGAAGAAAAAGAAAGTGAAAAAATAACCTGGAAAACAGTGCAACATAAGCGACCAAGAAATAGCCCGGAGGAAATTAAAACAGTTAAAAAAAGACAAACCAACATAGAAGACTACTGACTTGGAAATAATACAAAACCTATTGAAACAAGCAATCAATATGAAGCACTGAAAGAAAAAGGAAATAATGATGACACAGTAAATTGAACACTCAAAGTTTAACCGAAATACCAAAAGCTACGAAATCACCATCTATATATGTTAACGGGGTCGGAAACATAATGCCACTACGTGACCTTCTCGACCAGGTAGTAAAAAATGAATATTCCCTAAAAGTGCTAAATAACAACGAAATAAAAATT